TACAAAGTTTAACAGACTTGTCTGTAATTTATTATCTATGTTACTGACATTGTCTTATTTAAGTACTTCACACTTTACAGTGCTTTTTCAAATTCTCAGGTTTAATCAACTAAATGGCAGCTTGCAAGAGAAGTAAAAAAGTTAGTAGCTGTCTATCTATTTTGTTATTGTTAATTTGTTATGTTACTTTGCATGTAATGTTTTTCATAAAAGAAATGAAGACAACATGTTCTACTCAATACTCATCTTCCTTTATTGAATCATTAATTTTAAAAAATACTTTATTAGAAATTGTGATTTTTTTCAGTACAAAAGACTTGTGATGTTTACTGAAAGCTTGCCAAATTTCGTGACGATGTATCGATACAATCGTATCACAACTTCATGATACGATAGTCGTATCGTACGATGTATCAATACAATCGTATCACGGCTTCACGTATCATATCGCCACACCTTTAGTTATTTTATAACAGTTTATTGTGGAAAGCAATAAAGTGGCCTAGGTTATTTTGTAGTATAAAAATGTGCTGATTAATGTTTTATAATTGTATATTACATGTTTGGATCTTAGAAGTAATCACGTGGTGCATTTCATATATGTGTATGATGCAAACAATTAATTCAAACACAACACAATTCATGTACTCGAAGCTAGAAAACTGTTGTAGTTTTTAGAATAAATAACTTTTAGTAAGCAAACGTGAATAAGCTTTTCAAGAGAGTTGTTGGTGACAAACTAGTTGTTTCGTAAAGTGCTTATATTAGAAAACGTGTGAGGATTATTTTTAGAAGACTATTGAACAATTAGGTATAGCACATTCAAACTGTTTTACATGGCTTCTTATGTGTAAATTGAATGAAATTATAATTAATAGTATATAGTGTTACAATAAATAAATAATATAGTTTTACACAGTCCTTAACCTAATTTCATTATGTTATGACGTGAATAAAATTCATAAAAAAATTACACTTCTACAACTTAACTCAGTTATTACAGTAACAGTTGTTGTCAACCCATTTGCTAATAAAATAGCATCTTAATCACTTGTATGTTTGTCGTATCCAAACCGTCCTAAAGAGCCCTGGTATTGACGAAAGACCTGTCGGCACTCAATATAGCAGATATAGTGTGATTAACATATTATTATTATACACTCTTCTTTACTTGTACTCATTAATAATGACCTACGGTCTTCATGGGAACATTTTCAGAAACACCCTTGGGAAAATAAAAATTAAAACCACTCTAAATACTCTGCAAGTTTCTAGTTATAAGTGCCTATATTAAAAACTATTGGTCTCACAGGACAATTATTTTTATCAATATTTGGTAAACCATACAAAATAAAATAATGAGAACCTACTGATCTAATAAATTTGTAAACTATACCACTAACTGTTTTATCTTTCTTTCTTTAAGTTTGACAAATATCTTTGTAATTGACTTTTTTTTGTGAAATCACAATCCAGTTTTCTAAATCTAAATTCATCTAATATTATGCAATTACTTTATTTACTATCTCTATCCAAAATTAGTATGTCATTGGCTTTATCTGGCTTGACTCTTTCTTTGACTTAAATGATTAAAAGTTGGAGTTTATTTCTTAGTTATATTTAATTGTCTTTTATACAAATAAAATTGGATTAAGCCTAATCCTGTTATAGTAATACCAAAATTTCTTCCAGATTCTGCAGAAATAGGACTGTCCTTTAGGTTCTTCACTAGTTTTTAAAAATATTAAATAAAAATAATTATAACAATCAATTTTTCTAGATCAGTCTTCCACTTATGGGTAAATACAGGTATGTTTTGAGAAGTAAATTCCAAATATTTTCAAAGTTCAATATGTGAAACGAGTGTTGAGAAGATAGAATGTTTTCAAGATAAAAAAACAATTAATTAAAAACTTTGATGCTCTTAAACTTTTCATTGATTTGTTTTTTTTTCTTTGGTGTGGATCAAATTATGTTGGATCCACCATGCACTGTTCAGAGCAGGGGAAAAAAAAAGAGTATCTGAAGCTTAAAGCTGGTAATTATTCTAATATCTACAGACATCTAGACCACAATGTGATGGAAATGCATAACTTTGGAATTATGTATAGTATCATTAATAAATAAGATGCTATTGACAGGGGCATAATTAGTAAATTCACAAGTAATGTTTTGTAATCACATTAAACTCTAGGTATTTTTAGCTGACTGTATGGAGGATGTTGAGGTATTACAGAATAACTTGAATCAGTAGGAAAGATATTTGGAAATGGTCTTTAACAATATTATATGCAAGGTAGTGTATTTGGGTTATCATAATTTGGATTACAAGTTTAATATAGAAGGGAGCCAACTCAATAGTGATTGAAGAAAAGGATTATGTCATCCTGGTTGACAGATCACTCAAGCCATTATACCAGTGTTCTGTATTTAATAGTAGTCAAGACAAGAGAATGTTATGCTGAATTTATAAAATACTAATTACAAGTCAAAAGATGTAATTATCTCTCTACAAAAATATCTAATTAGGCCTCTCTTGGATTAGTGCATACAATTTTGGTCTCCTTATCTAAGTAAAGATGTTGAATTACTACAAAGGGTTCAGAGGGAGGCTACTAGAATGAATTCAGGGATGGAATGGTTATCTTATATGGATAGGTTAAATGCTCTCAACTTATTTTAATATGAGAAAAGAAGAGTGAAAGGTAATCTTATTGAAACATACATAATTATCTTGAGGATTTATAGAATCAAGGCCTCTGATTTCATAATGATATTCTTTAGATAGTATGATATAGAGGCATAAGTTTAAGATCTGATAAAGACAAGCTAGGCTCTAGTTAAGACAATTTAATTATTCCAACAGGGTGACTGACTTATGGAACAAGTTGTCAGTTGGCAGCAGTAAAGGCTTACGATGGAATTCAATGATTTCCTAAAAATTAAAGTTCTTTTTTTTAAAGCATTTGAAAATGAATCAATATGTGATTAGGAATAGTTTTGAGAACTCTAAAAAAATTGGCAGATTTAAGAGTCATTGAACAAGTTTTGATATTGAGTTCTTGTAAACCAGTTCCTTCATAAGAAGTAATTAAACTAACAGGTTTTTTTTCAAAATGATATATACATATAAGGGTTAAAATAATCAGTTTTTATTGAGTTATTAAATCTTACTACTAAGAAATCTCATTCCAAATTTGACAACAGTATTTATGGTCAGACAGATAGTGTTGCTATGGGCTCAAACGTTATCACCTAGTCTAACAAACTTTTGTCTTTTATTCTCATAAAGCACAATGGTTAAATAACTGTTTGGAGAATCTTGAACGTATTACATACCATAGGTACTTGTATTACATACCATAGGTACTTGTATTACATACCATAGGTACTTGTATTACATACCATAGGTACTTGAATAAGGAAGCACATTATGCTTATTATTATTATAATATGGCAAAAAACAATTTATAAGTATAATGAAGTAATTTGTTCTGGGGGGAACACAGTACATGTTTTGACAGAATATTGGTCTGTTAAAACATGTTGTATGTTCCCCACCACTAAATAAATCATTTCATTATGCTCATAAATCATTGATTGCCAACTGATTATAATACCATAGGTATGTTGATGATACTTTTGTCATTTTTAAGAAACAAGTACACTTACATAAATAACATCCTTGTATTGTGTTTACAGTTGAAAAAGAAAATATTCCAAATTTGTCTTTCTTGATTCTTGACATTAGCACCTTTGGTGATCATATGGAAATGAAAATACATCATAAACCAACGTATATAGGATTGTATGATCTTGTTTAGAGTATTATACCTGTTAAATATAAAACCAATTTTATATTTCATAGAGCTTATCATATTAGTAGTGACTTATTGTTCTGTGGTAAGTAATAGCCAAGGTGCTGACAGTGTGACAGTTTTCCTTCCCCCTGGTGAGCAGCTAAAATTTAGGAATGGAAGGACTTAGCATTAGTAACTTTATTTACCATAAGTAAATCTATGGGGCCAAGATGTTCAGGGGTCCACATTTTCAGAGCTGTTGTATAAACACAGATATTTTCAAATTAAAACAGAAATATATATGATATGTGGAATCATATCAGGAGAAAGTGGTCACTAGGGAGGCTGAATTTAGCCTAAGAGTGATAAGTCACCCCTGTGGTATCACTAGTTATTCATCTATGTAGTTAGTTTATATCACTGTTTATATGTAATTTGTTTTATCTCGTTTTGATCAGTTTGGTAAGTGTACCTTTTATCTCGATTTTTTTATTTTTCACGGCTGAGCTGAATAACAAGAAACAACTTGTAGCTTAGGGTATGAGTCCTCTACAGCTTTAATCCAACTCTAGTTATCTCCCTGTGGTTGTTTTGAAAGGAAATGATAGAAAGCCAAATTCACAAGTATTATTTGTGGTTTAAGCTGACTTATGAAGATTCCATTATCTTATGTCAGAGGCGACACCAAGAAGTTTTATAACAAGAATCACATGTCTACGTAGATAAACTGCAGCAGTGATTTCGGGTACGTGGGAAAGTGCCTAAAGACAAGCCGTTATTGTTTTCTTAGTGCAAAGCTGCACAGTGTGCTTGCTATCTGTATTCTATCCACTTTGGGGAATCGATCTCAGGATTTCTACAGACCGAAAGCCAGTGTCATTAAGTAAACGCATTAAATTTTTGCAAGAGCTGGGAAATTAGGATCATATAATACATAGATCTAGTTGCGATATTTGATAAGAAGGTTGTAGATTACAACCTGTTGTAGCATACCATAGACGAACATGAAAATAGCACAACACAAGCGTGTTTCATTGAGAATCTTCCGTTTTTCGTCTCGTTAAGTTTGAGGCCAAAATGTGATGTTTTTTGTAATTACATATGACCTATTTTATGAACATGTAATGCGAACTATGTCTTTACAATAAGTAAATATCATAAAATTTTATATTTCAATACATCTGTATTTCTTCTTTTCAGCAAAACAAAGAAGACCAACTAACCAGCAGTACTGTAAAAGCTGAAGTGCGACAGAAATGGAAAGTGAGTTTGTTTTTTCTTACAACTGTTTTTATAATCAAATCAAATAACCTCGCTCCTCGTGCGTGATATAGAGGAAGTCGTAAGTTCAGATGTTTTAATCTTATTACTTATTTAACTCAGACTGTTAGGGCTAGTGCTTCGCATCCCATTGCAGTACGCCGCACTTTAGGGCCGTGGGTCGCTATGAAAAAACAGTGAAATCCCTCTATTCGATTAAACAAAAGGTGACGGAGGGTTCTGTTATCTAGTTGCCTTCCTTCTTGTCTATCAGTTTAAAATTAAGGAAGACCATACACAAATAGCCCCTGTGTATCTTTGTGCATAAGTTCTTAAACACATTGTTAAACTGCGACTGTGCTTCAAACTTGCCACCCAATGTTTGCAGTCGACACTTTTCTTTAAAATTCTTTATTGAAATATTTTTTAAAAACCTGAATAACCTATGATATAGTCCTATACTTTGAGCACGTGTCTCCTTGTTGGAATCTCTTTCATACATTACGTAGCGTTGAAAGTCATGCTGTTACGACAGCGGAAGTCACCTGACGCTAATAACACGTCATGAGTTTCTAGAAGGATCATGACTTTTCCTGGCAACTCTAGTCCTTTCCAGGCGCCCTCTATTTTAGTATATAAGCCCGGCAAATAATTGCAGATAGAGAGATTGAACATAGAGACAGATAATTGAGTCAAGCAAGTGGTAGTGACCGTAAGTAAAGTGCGTAAATCGTTGTGAATTATAGCGCTTGTTTAAGTTAAAGTGACTGTAGAAATTCTGTGTATTGCAAAGTTGTATTGAGAAAGAATAAACTAGTTTTATTTAAGAAAGGGCTTGTATCGCTGAAGTTCTTCGGAAAAAAATGTATAGCGGAAATTAAAAACGACCAGAGTCGCAACAAATTGGTGTCAGAGAGTGGGACTGAGAAAAAAAAAAGAACATGGAAACGAGAAGTGGCAAATCAAACTACAGCTTAGTAGATTTGATGGCAGCAATACAAAAACAGCAAAAGAAACAAGAAGAACGAGAAAAGAAACAAGAAGAGAGACAGCAGCAGTGGCAGTTCGAACAGCAAAATAAATAATAGAGACTACAATAGTTGTTGGAGGAAAAAGAAAACAAACAAGAAGAAAGTCTCCAACAATTGAGAGAAAGCCAGCATACACAAATGGAAAAGATTAGTAAATTTCAACGTGAATTAAATGCATTAAAGGATGATTTACTGCTTTTTACACAAGGAGAAATATTAACCATCGACCTAATCAGCCCCAGACAACGGAAAGCCCCTTCCAGACCCCGCAGCTAAACCCTAATGCAGACATCTTCAGTCCTGTCAGAAGTCATATCCCAGACATGAGTGTCAGCAATAGGGGTGATTTAGTACGAAGGAAGCCACAGGAATTCGATGGGAAGGCACCATGGGAAGCATATAGAGCACAATTTGAGCTACCGGCAGAAATGAATAGATGGACAAAGGAGCAGAAAGCAGTGTACCTCGCAACGAGCCTGAAGGGACAACCACTGGAAATACTTGGACAGTTGTCAGCAGACGACAAGCACAACTATAGAGCACTGGTAGCTGCTCTAAAACTCAGGTATGGAACCCAAAGGAGAGAGCCTGCAAGAGCTGGCACAGGATTGGGAAAGTATGGCACACAAGGCCTACTCAACTGTGCCACCCGATGTCCTCAAGTTGTTGCTGAGGGATCAGTTTGTAGACGTCTTAGACAGTCCACAACTGAAGATACAAGTGAAGCAAGCACACCCTTCTACTATACAAGATGCATTGGCCAGAGCTCTTGAATTCGAATCCTACATTACGTCCAGCACAGAGGTACCAAGGCTGGTACAGTCATCAGGATTCAAGGTCAGAAAAGGGCAGCTTTCAGAGAAGTTTGAAGGACTTTGCTGGCACTGTAACAAACCTGGGCACAAGAGAGCTCAATGCCAGCAACTTGAACACAGGAAAGGCTACCCAGAAAGGTTGTTGGAACTGTGGGGAGCAAGGACATCTGAGGAGCAAATGTAAGAAAAATACCATCAATAAGTCAGCTTCGGGAAACC